GCCTAAGTTTGGGAACGGACAGGGTGGTGGTGGACCTAAAGGGGTGGTCTAGTGATCGGATCAGAATGGTAAGTTGAGGCCAAATCTGAAGGGTCTTTAAAATGCCAGAATTCACACCTTATATGAAGTCAACTGAATCTTTGGATGGCTCAAGATATGGGACAAATGATTTGAAATTTGTATTGGGGAAATTTTTGCTTGCAGAAGTGTGGAGAATTGGTTGCAAGAAACTGACCTTCCAGGGCTTCTGCTCATTCTGAGCAGTCCTTGATGTAACCAGTCTGAAACTATTTATTAGGCTATGGAGATGAAATGGGCTATTTACTAGCCTCTATCCTTTCAAGCCCAGGAGTCCTGGTGGCTTAGTGCAAGGTCAGCAGTTTGAAACTACCAGCCACTCATCGGAAGAATGAAGAAGTTTTCCATTCCCATAAAGAGTTACATCTTTTGGGGCATCCCCGCACAGAACGGTCACAAGGAAGGGACGAGACAGCCAGGGAACAGTATAGCACTGATAAAACACACAACATTTCTCTACTTCTTTAATGCTTCCTGCCCCCCGCCCCCTCTCATGACCCCAGTTCTACCTTACAAATCCAGCTAGACCAGAGCATGTACACTGGGAAAGATAAGAACTCACAACCCACGGAACCGAGGACAGATAACCCCTCAGGAACAGTAATGGGAGTAGTGATACCAGGAGGGGTGGGGGAAAGTGGGAGGGAGAAGGGGGAACTGATTACAAAAATTGATGTGTAACCCCAACCACCACCACCACCTGAAGGGGACAAATGACAGAAGCATGGGTGAAGGGAGACAGGGGTCAGTGTAAGATATGAAAATAAAAATAATTTATAATTTATCAATTGATCACAAGGGTGGGAGAGTAGGGGAGGGAGGGGGGAAAAGGAGGAGCTGATACCAAGGGCTCAAGTAGAAAGAAACCATTTTGAAAATGATGATGGCAACAAATGTACAAATGTGCTCAATACAATTAATCTATGGATTGTTAGAAGAGCTATCAGAGCCCCCAATTAAATGATTTATAAGCAACAATAACAACAGCAACAAAAGAGTTACATCTCAGAAACCCACAGAGGCCATCAGAATTGTTGCAATGGCAAGTGTGTTTTTGATCTAGTCTAGAGTCATTGATACAAAATATTGTGGGAATGCCCATGTAGAAGTAATTCCCCTAAAGAACCTGGCATTCGTGCCTATCAACTTGTAACTAAAAAGAAAAGAAACGTTTGTGGGAAACAGCACAGTATAGGCCTTAAAAAAAAAAAAACCCAACATGCTTTAGATTGACTCAGAGCCCGGACTGAGTTTTAGCTATCTCTGTTTTCATTGTAAAGGTCACCAGGGTGCTACAGATCTGGCTAAGAAACAAAAAGTTGGTCATTCAAGTCCACCCAGAAGTGCTTCCGAAGAAAGTGGTGGCCATCTCCTTCTCAACAATCAGCTACTGGCCTGGCCCATTTCAAGTGCGCAGCTCAATTGTTCCAGTATACTTACAGAAGTTTGCAATCACCACAACCATTTAATTTGAGAACATCTCCCAAATGCCAAAAAAACAACTCCATAACTCATAAGTGATCACCCCTAAACCTCCCTGTCAGGCAGCTACTTTCTGTTTCTATAGATTAGTTACTCTGGACCTTCCGCACAAATGCAATTACACTATCACAGGTGGTCTTTGGTGACTGACTTAATTCACTTTGTTGTTGTTATGTGCCATGATGTCAGTTCTGATCCGCGGGGACTCGTGCACGACAGACAAAGTACAGCCTGGCTTTGCACCATCCTAATAGTTGTCACAGTGGAGCCCTTTGTCACAGCCACTGTGTAAATCCACATCCTGGAAGGTCTTCCACTTTTAAGCGATCCACCATCAACTTTTGGATCTTCCCCACTTTTTGAACTTTGTGAAGAATGCCGCTATGAGTGTTTATGGGGAAATTTTCTCTGAACATGTGTTTTCATTTCTTTTGTGTGTTTACCTAAGAATCGAATGGCTGAGTTATATGGTAATTCTACGTTTAACATTTTGAACAACTTCCAAAGTGGCTGCATCATTTTACATTTCCATCAGCAATGTCGGAGGCTTCCAGTTTCTTCCCGTCTTCACCAACGTCTGTTATTCTCCGGTTTTATTTCTGTTTTGATAGCCAATCCGCTGAGTGCCCCGTGGTGTCTCAGGTTTGACTTGCCTCCCTGTGTGGATCACATGGTTAAAGCCCTCCCTTCGAGTGGTTTCAAAGGACACAGGGGCTTCTGAAAGATCACAGCTTGGAAAGGCCCTCTCACAAGCCTGGAGTTGACTTGGCAGCAACTACGACCGCAATTTTTCATGTGCATATTGAGTAGTATCTATCTTCTTTGGAACAACCATGTCCTGATCTTTTGCTCATTGTACAATTGAGTTATGTATCTCTTTATTATTGACTTATAAAGGGCGTTTATTCTGGATTCAAGCTCTCTTATGACGCGTAGGGTTTACAAATATTTAATCCCCGTTATGTGTGTTGTTTTTCCCTTCCCTTGGTGGGATCGTTTAAAGCACACATCTTCCTTGCTTCATTGTTATATAACTTATTGAAGTTCTTATTTCGATGTTGATCTTCTACAATAATATTAAAACTGACATGCTTCCGATGGCAAATGTGGCCTTGTACTTCATTGACTAAAGGGATGCCTTACTGATTTTTTTTTTTTAAATCTCTATTCCGAATACTTCCTGTTGTATGAACACAGCATCCATCCTCCTCGCTTCCTCCACCCATCTCTGTGGGGCAAAAAGCACATCTTGTCGCCCAGGCCAGCTCTCCACCTGGGCTCCTGACTGTCCTCTCCGCCTTCTTCCAGTGCTCGCTCCGTCATTCCCTGCTCTGCTACAGCTTTAACGTGCTCCCCTGTCTTCTCTCAGCCTGTGAACCGATTAGTTCACTTCCTGCTATTTTGAGAAAAAAACAAAAACAAAACTTCTCCTGATCTGTGTCGCCCATATCCATATCTCTATTCTGCACTTCATTTCTAAGGATCTTAAGACTCAACACTATCCCAAATAAAATGCCCCCACTCTTTCCAAGTCTGCTTCACATCCTGTCTTTCCTTTCTTAGATAATGGCACCATTCACTCTGTACCACTTACCCCCAAGTCAGACCAGACTCCTTCTCTCCCTACCTCCTAGTGCCAATAAATCATCTTGTCCCACTGAGTTTTATCACACAGACACAGGACAATATAAACCTTACTGTCTCATACAAAAGCCCGAGTCTGGGTGATAATCTCTCCCCTGAAACATTGTATAGTCCTGGTTGTTCTGCCTCTGATTCTGCCACTATGAAGGTCCATCCTCACCAAAATGCCAAGAAAATGTTTAGTTTTTTAATATGACTTTTTGTTGCATTAGTATAGGAAGTGAGGGTTGATACCTTACAGTAATGTGTGATACTGTGTGTGTGCTTTTTGATAATGTTCAAAGTCTTCTGAGGCTCAGAGCCCCATCTGTAAAATGAGAATGGTAAGCCTTAGTCTGCATGCTGTTGGGAGAATGAAACGACAACATACGTGGATGTAGTAGGTGCCAGTATAGGGCAGGGGGACCTTATTACCTCCCAGAGTGTCGCTGACATCAGCAGAGAAAACTGTGAACCTGTGAGAGCCGCAGGAGGCTGCGATTAGAAACAGGAGATGGAGGACGGCCTTGGGGAAACTATGAAAGCCGGGACTTTGGCTTCCTTTTCTGTAGCTTGGAATAATGTGAAAAATGAGAAGAAATCATAAAAGCAAAATACAGGACAGTTGGTATAAACCTAGGATTAAAAAAGCGGAGAGAGAGGACAGCAACAAATCCAAATAAGACTGGCGTTTCTTGCAGAGGCTAATCTTAACACCCTCCGTTACTTTGTTAAAAGCATCTGGTTTTTGTTAACTTGCATGCACATCCATCACCTCCGCTCTGTCGGCTCAGCGTACTTGGGCCACGTGGGTTGTGGGTGTGCTGCTGGAAGCGTAGCCTCCCTTACTTTGAATACCAGTAGGGTCATCCATAGTGGACAAGTTTACGCGGCGTTTCAAGAATAAGAGAGACAAGGAAGGAAGGCCTGGTGATCTGCTTCCAGAATCCGCCGATAAACACCCTAGGGGTCACAACACAGGGCTAGAGCATGCATGCCCGACGTCAGGAAACACTGCAATGAAACAGGGGCCAGCCCCATGGGCTCCAGAAAATGGACTGTGAGGAGGGGATGTTGTGGTCGCTATTAGGGGCCCTCAAGCTGGTTCTGATGCAGAGCGACCCTAGGCCCTACAGAAGGAAATACTGCCATGTCCGGCGCCAACCTCCACCAGAGCTGTGCTCGTCCATCCAGCTCCTGGAGGTGTCCCTCTTTATCCTGCCCTTCCGCTTTCCCAAGCGTGAGGGCCTTTTCCCGCTAGCACGTCCAAAGGTCGTGAAACAGAGTCTTGCCATTCTTCCTCCCAAGCAGCATTCTGGCTGCACCTCTTCAAGACGGATCTGTCTGTTCTTTGGGCAGCCCTGGTGCTTTCCAAACTCTTCCCCAGCACCAGAGTCCAAGTGTATCCATTCTCCTCCGGCCTCCTTGGTACAGAATTGAGTAATGTTTTCTTCTGCTGTATCTGAGTTCTCCATGAGTCAGAACTGACCGGACAACGACATTTAGAAATAGCACACAAATCCTCTCCAAATGTGTGTGTCTGTGTGTCAGTTCTACCCCGTCCAGTACCATCCCTGTGGGTGGCTGAGTCTGGTTTGACTTTTGAGAAGAGGGAGGGAGACGTCGGACAGATGTTTAATGCTGATGCTGTTTACATTTTGCCATTCTTAGAAATTGTGAACAGTGGGATGTCTGTATTTGTCGAGGAATGTCTGCATTTCGACTTCAAGGGCAGCTACTATTCCCTAGATGTTAGCTCTGTTGATCTTCTGTTCAGCTGTCCAATCACGGTACCTCTCATTTTTGGCTATTTGCAGGCTGGCATCCATCCCAGTTTCTCCACTGAGATACCACAGAAGATCCCGATGGAGGAGGATGCAAACCAGAGGGAGGAGCCCACTGAGAAGGAAAGTAGTGATGTGCGACATCATGGTAAGATCTCACACCATGCTCACTTCATTGTCAGAGATGCTGAGTAAACAGTTCTAACACCGACTCTCCACTACCCATAGTGGGAATGAGCTGAAAATTTTTGGCATAGACCCATGAGTCCAGCAAGCTGCAGGCCGATAACCAGATGCTAGGAATCTTTGCTCTGGGCTTCAATTACACACATCCTCACAGGTTCCTTACTTACCTCCTGAAAGGATGGTGTGCTTTTGTTTAGATGAGATGCTCCATGCCTGGGACGCCAATACAATGCGGAAAGATCTTTTCCCATTGACTGGCCAGCCTTTCAAAAAATCCCAATCCAGAAAAAGAGTAAGTGGGATGGGCTGCATAGAGAAAGGCATTGTTGTTCTAAGACGTGTAGCAGATAGCATGGGAGAAAGATAGGCTTTCTATTCCAGTGAAGAGTTACAGTCTCAGAAACTCACAGGGGCAGTTCTACCCCGTCCAGTACCATCCCTGTGGGTGGCTGAGTCTGGTTTGACTTTTGAGAAGAGGGAGGGAGACGTCGGACAGTATAAGACATGACAAAATAATAATTTATAAAAAGCAGCCAGTCCACAGAGAGGACTACATGGCCAGCCCCACTATGAGACATGATGCCCCTCACTGACCCA